TTAAGCAAATACACAAAATTTCAGCTTCAAAACCCAAGTACGCTATTTTATAAAATTCACACAAGATATCTTCAAAACCGAAACACGAATTTATACTCAAACATAATGAATGAATCAGGACTTGATAATTTCACACAATACACTACAGCATGATATAATTTCACATAATAATATTTATAATATTAGTAAAAATACAAATACACATTTTAATTAAAATAGTAACACATAAACAATTAGGCAATCATACACGATTTAGCAATTAATCACATTTAGACAAATAGACATTTAATATTTTATAGCATTCAATAAGAATAACGCAACAAATAAATATAACTAAAAATAATAATAATAAATGATTCTCAAAATTTCATAATTCAAACGGGGCATTACAATCTATCCACCTTAAAAAGAATCCCGTCCTCGGGATTCGAAACAAAAGAAACCAACAACTCAGAGAAAAAGAATACGGGGGACTCAACATGAGAAGTTTGGATATCTCCTCTTAATCTCGACCTCCTTCTCCCAAGTCAGGCTCCGGTCCAAGAACAGAACCCTCAGAATATCCTCCAAACGAGACTTAGGTCATTGCAATACACGTGATCATTTCCCGGAATCGGTACGCGTTACACGCTAGTGACTTGGCAGCTGTGGCATGAATGGCTGGCCTAGCATGCGGCAACGCGGCATGCTACATACGGCACACTACGCACGACACTTCCTACGACTCGAGATGCATCATCGAGCGTGGTACGCCTGTGCGCGGCGCCAGCACGCAGTACACCTGCACCACCCGCAGCCAGTAGCTACGGTTCATTCGTCACCAACTGTTACATCTCCCCGTGTTGATACGTAGACGAAGATCGGAAGTCCACCGGTGTGTTGTGACCCTAGTCCAAACTCCGGCATCCAAGTATACCAACTTTGTCGTCAGAGTACTTATACTTCATCTGAGTCAGTCAACTTTCAGACATCATTATCATCTTCTCTTGAACCTTTCGCATCGACTTAAAGGTATCATGAAACAAGATAACTAAATTTACGAAAACAGATTGGATCAACAGGAATTTAAGGTTTTTAACTCCATTCGGAACTAATTCCATGCAAGGAAAGAAAAGACAAGCGGAATTTCCAAATTACGAAAATTGAATAACCAAAAGGAGTCTCCAAAACACAATTCAAACTTGTCTTGCGAGCAAAAGGAAATAAACAAAGTTTTCCAAAAGCTAGAAGAATTGAAAATTTAATAAAAGAAGGGACAAAAATATTCATCTCGTGTCCGACATTTGGTAAGCTACTGACATGGCTGCTGAATCTGCTGCTGATGCGGTGGTGGAAGTTGTTGCTGCTGCTGATAGGGCTGCTGCTGATATGGCTGCTGCCTCTTGGGTTCGGGGCACGCACTTAGAAATATCCGGGGCTCTGACAGTTGAAGTAAACCTTCTGTTGGTATCGGAACGGTCCTGGGTGGTAGCGGCCGCAATGAGGGCATTTCGGATTCTGACCCTGAGGGGCAGGGCGCTCCTCACGTCAGTCATTCCCTCCACGTTTTCCATTTCGGTTGTCCCGATGGATGTCGGCCTTTCTCTTGTTCGAGTTGGAGCTGGGATGAACTGAATTGATGGACTGCACAGACTGTGCAAGAGGCTAAGAAGGAACTGAGGCATGAAGCTTCTGGTAGCTCTCCAGCTGCTGGGCACGGGTGACAGTCTCCCTATAGGAAAGGTTGCCCTGGCTAGTGAGGTGCATGCAGAGATCAGGACGGAGACCGTCACGGAACTGAACGGCCTTCTTCTCCTCGGTGTCCACCAGAGTTGGAGCAAATGTGCTCATGCGGGCGAAATCCCGCTCGTATTCATCAATAGCCCGGGTCCCCTGGCGGAGATCCCAAAACTCACGCTGCATTTGCTTCTTGTAGCTGAGGGAGTAGTACTTATCAAGTATCACCTTCTTCATTCTGTCCCAGGTGAGATTAGCGCGCTCAGCCGGCCTAAGCCTCCAGTGGTCGTGCCACCAGATGTCGGCATCACCCTATATCTGATACTAGGCACAAACAATCTTCTGCTCATCGGTGCACATCAAAAGATCGAACATCCGCTCTATCTTGCGGAGCCATTCAGCCACGGCTGTGGGCCCCTCGACCCCGGTGAAAGCCGGTGGGGTCAGCCGCTGAAATTTGATAACCGTCTCGCGATGGTCATCCTGCTGAGGTGGAGGCGGAGGCGGAGGCGGAGGCGGAGGCGGAGGCGGAGGTGGGTTTTGCTGATTATTGCGAGTATTACGGGTATTGCGATTGGCCATAGTTCTACAACAAATAGGCCGAAAGAACTTAGCACAAATAATTATAAAAGGAAATCTAGAGTTTGCCAAGAAACACTAGAGTTCAATCAAATTTCAAAATAGGTGGATGTATCCTAAGCCCCAATTCACATCATATCATTTTATTTCATAAATCAGACAATCATAATCAATTTAACTTAATCAGGAATCTCATACATGAGTTGGCGAGGCACGACGGAAGCGAGTGGTCATAACTTACATCACATATTTTCACAGAGTTCACATAATTCAAGTATACCAGTCTACAGAAACGCAGACTGGCTCTGATACCAAACTGTAACGCCCCACTTTTATTTGCCGAAAATCAGAATAAATTTTTCAAATTTATTTCAAAACACCTGAGGCGCTACTCATTTTCAAGACGAACTTTAATACTTAATCAATTTCTTAATACTCAATCAATCATCAAACTCAATGTTTCCAACTCCCAAAACGGGTTTTCCCAAAAATTCATCAATCTCCCAAACTGGGTTCCAACAATATTCATAGTATCCAAGGAGCATCTCCTTTAACATTAATTCAACCATATTATCCATAAATCATAAATTCAATACTATCCCATGTTCTCAAATCATAAATCAGTTCATAACGCGGAAGCCTAAACAACAATAACACCGGTCTCATAGACCGACCACCACTCGCTCTACTCCGCCGTCGTACCTGCCTCGCTCAACCTGAAACGTGAATTTCAAGTGGGGATGAGCACAGTTGGAAAAAGTAGTGCTCACCACTATGCAGTAAACATTATTCACAATAATAAAACAGTAATCAATAATCAATAAGGTATGGTCGCAGCATGTATTCGAATCAATTAATTATCCCAGAGTCAACCCTCATGTGCATACCTACGCATAGAATACTGCTGATACTCGATTCGAATGCCAAAACCTACGCCTTGGTCTTACAACGATTCCCAGCCAGAAGGAGCAATCCACTCCGCCTGGCCAAGACCTACGAATTGGTCTTACAAAGCGGAGATCATCAGCCGTGGCCTACGCCCTGGTCTTACGGCCATACATAACATAATATAAAGGAGACTACCCATCGGGTACGTTCTATAGCTACGGGGTTAACCGTTCGACGGCCGGTACAGCTCACATCGAAGGCTACATGGTTCCACATGCATACTTTGATCATACCATAATTAAAACAGTAATAACATTTAAGGCATAGCAATTTTTCAAATTAAATCCACCTGGTTGCGAAAATGAGATAATCACAGAAGCACGAATAGGCTGCGAGCTCGGCTCGTCAAACACCTACATTAATTCCAGATGCCATAATCAACATCTATTTTGACTTAAACAGCAATCACAATCATACTTAGTCGAACTTGATTCAACTAAGTTGTTCGTGAAGTCCTGTGGACATTGGAACACTTAGACTCAAAATCCAGACTCAACCAAATTCACATGGGAGTTCACATAATCAAAGGCACATATTGACAAGGTCAAACACTCAAGGAAACAGAAAACGAGATGACTCACAATCCTTATGTCCGAAAGCCATATATAAAAAATACAAGATTTAAGCCACAAAAATAAGTTGACCAGTTTATGATTCGAATTTAACCATGAAATTTTAACTGAAATTTCACCTTCCAGAGTTAAGCAAATACACAAAATTTCAGCTTCAAAACCCAAGTACACTATTTTATAAAATTCACACAAGATATCTTCCTCAAACTTAATGAATGAATCAGGACTTGATAATTTCACACAATACACTACAGCATGATATAAGTAACATATAAAATTTCAGCCCTGAACACTGACCGCTGCTATTTTTAAAAAATTCAAACGAGATTCAGCAGTTTATCGAATTTAAATCAAATCGAATCAAAATGAACTTCAAAAATTTTCATATTTTAACAGAATGAATAAACACATAAAATAAGCATCTCAGTAAAGTTTTCAAATTTTCCAGCAAGAATTCAATTTATTAAAATTAAATTACGAAGCTGAAGAATACAACAATTAATTTTTAAATATAGCAAACGAAGTCCAAAATTTCTAAAAACTTTTACACGACCTATAAAACATGTAGGAAGACAACATACTCGAATCTCATAATTTTTAAGGCACAATGGAATTTAATATGCATTTTACAAGATTCTGCTCAGATTTTCATACAATTATTAAAATTAGCTAGACATAATATTTTAATCCGAAATTTGTACACAACATATATATATTCAGCAGAGGGACTAACACATAAAATTTCACGGCAATCCAAGCAGCATACAATTTATTATGATTTAAACACGAAAACAACAATTTACAAGATCAACAAGTTATAGAACGACTCGACAAAACTCGAAACGGTCCGAGACCTTCACCATAAGGCCAAGGACACATCATGTTCCAATTTCCACAGCGACTTAACACGTGTATAACATGATCTTGTTCGGGTCCGCACGGACCGAAGAGATCAATACATCATTTAATTAACACAAAATTCACATATTCATGTCCACCATTCGGCACTAATCTCAATTTCTCGTAAATGAATAGGAAATTAAACCTCATTAAATCCCAGGCTTTTAAATCTTCATGACAGAGGTTAAAACCTCATAATTTAGCAGCACTCAACTCAAAATAAAAAGATTCCAAAGCAATAAAAATTCTTCACGGCAATTACCACTTTTTATTTTTTTTTAAAAGGCCGAACATAGAAAAATCAAACTTGATTTCTACCAATTATCCACAGCAATAACTCGAAGCCGTATTGCAAATAATAAAAAAAAAAATATATATATTCGAGCAGAAGCAATACTCATGAGCCCGAACATCAGTTACTGAAAATCTCATATTTCTTCGGAAGCCTCAAGTTCTAATCGCATGAACCTTTAGCCTACTTAATCCTTCAAAATAACTCATGAAATAAAAGAGGGTGATCGGTTTTAATACCTCCTTCAAGGAATTAAAACGAATAAGCTGAAGAAAGACGGGGAGAAGGAGTCTCGGGCCTGAAATCGGCCTCGGCTTTCTCTGGTCACTCCCGTACGGCCGCTGCTCAGGGTTACGGCGTCTCACCCTGCTCTATTCGAACGTCGAAGGTGATGGATAACGATGGCGGGACTTGTTATTCGGGCGTCGCGGCGGGAAAGCTTGCAGAGAAAGGATGAGGGTGATGATCTGGTTTGCAGAGAAAGGGAGAGGGGATGAAAAGGGACGACAGATTTTCTCTCCTCTGCTCTACGCGTGAGGTCGAGAGGAAAATAGAAAAAAGCTGAGGGTTAATTTTATCTGACGAGACAGAGATGAGAGAAAAATAGATGTAGGGTTTTGTTTCTTTTGCACAAGAAACACGCACACACAATCACACTCTTACGGGCGGGCCGGTTCGAAAGGGGTGAAACCGGGTCGAGGCGCGTGTTCGGTTAAATAAAACGTATCGGCTCTCGGGCCCGACTACCTAAAAATAATACAATTACACGGGCTCGATAAATTAATTTGTACAATTAAACAAACCGAATATTATATATTCACCGAATATTATATATTCGTATAATACACATAATTTAACTCTTTTAAAATAATAATATTTATAATATTAGTAAAAATACAAATACACATTTTAATTAAAATAGTAACACATAAAAAATTAGGCAATCATACACGATTTAGCAATTAATCACACTAGTTTTTGTCCCGTGCATTTGCACGGAAAACTATATGATACATGAAAAAATAATAAAAATTATAAACAACAGTAAAAATCATAACAAATTCATTTAAAAAAATTAAAAAAAATATAAATATTCTTAAACACTTCTTTATAAAACAACGTCGTGGTTTTTCTATCGTCAAAATCTCCTTCAGCTCAAATCAAAATCTTCAAACCCCACTGGCTCGTAACTCTAAAAAGCGCCACGTATAATTGCTCATGACTAAATGCAGAGCTCTTCAGTAGTAAGCCGACGTGCGACAGAGACTGTCTTTGACTCTTATTGATCATGTCATAGCATAGGAAACACTTCTTTATATTGTTTGTCCTCGACTCTTATTGATTGATAGAGATTGTCCTTGCTTCTTAATAAAAAAATACCATCTAAATATAAATGAGTAAATATAATATTAATTTTTTATATAAACAAAAAATTTAAAGTAATTGATAATGAGTATAGAATTACCCCTGCGGATTCAAGTTATTTCAACGATGTTCTTTTTATATATCTAAGATTTAATTTTTTTTCTGATTTATATGAATATAAGCACATTTGACTAATTTTTATAAAATTTATTGAAAAAAGTTACTATTTTTTTGAAAAATTAATAAGATATTAAGATAATACTGTACTTAACATAAATGTGGGATTAATTAAAATAAATTTTTTTAATTTAGTCATTAACTAATTAAATTTAACTATAAAAAATCTTCTTAAATGTGAGATTAATGAGTAGTTAATTAACAAAAATGTAACTCCTTTTAGAGGGAAAGTGAAAATATTTTTATTAAATGTTTTATTAAATGGGATTAGCTAGCAATTATATATATATAGATTTAGACAAATAGACATTTAATAATTTATAGCATTCAATAAGAATAACGCAACAAATAAATATAACTAAAAATAATAATAATAAATAATTCTCAAAATTCCATAATTCAAACGGGGCATTACAGTATATATATACCGTGTTGAACCTTTTTATATATGTCATATATTGCCATATCTCCTAGAAATATATACTTTGTTATATAAACTCTGTTATACGTAGAACATATACTGAAATTATTAAGCACATATATATTCACTATATATAGTGGGTGTCATGCCATAATAATTTTTGTATAATATAAATTATTTCCTTGGGTGAGGGTTTTAGTTTCGAGTGTTTCGTGTGTGTTGCTGTGAGTTTTCCCTGTCTTTCAGTTAGTGTGTGTAGGGTTTGTCGAGTTTGAGAGTAATGGAAGCTTGTTCGGGGGAAGGTTTAGGAGAGGAGGTCTTGGCGAAGATGCAGAAGTTCTCATTGTCGGATAAAGAAGCTGGCGACATTGAAATCCGGGTAGATGATATCAAGTCAAGTGAAGAAGAGTGTGGCCGGAGTTTATTTGGGAATGTTGTGTGGGACCGACGAGCTGGCCTACTGGGAATCAAGCGAGCAATGGGTGCAATATGGAGAATTCAACAGACGTTGGAAGTGAAGGAGCTCAGTGCCAATTTTTTCCAGTTCATATTCAGTTCTATCGAGGATAAGAGAAAGGTAGCAGCAGGTCATAACTGGTTATTTGAGAACCAGTATCTCATCCTTCAGGAGTGGATGCCAGGACTAACAAAGAACCATGTTTGTTTTGAAGAATTGAACATCTGGGTCCAGGTATATAATGTGCCTCTCAATTGGATGTGTACGGAGGTAGGAATGAAAATTGGTGGAGTATTTAAGAGTGTTAGAAATGTGACTATATGCAAAGCGGGTGGGGACCTGGGAAGTTACCTCAAACTACTAGTAATCCTTAATTTAAAAGAGCCGGTGCCTAGATGTACAAATGTGAAGCTTGGAGATCAAAGGGTGAGAGTTGTTTTCAAGTATGAAAAGTTGGTAAACTTGTGCTACTACTGCGGTAGAATAGGCCATTTGGATAGAACATGTCAAGGGAGGCTGCAAGATATTGAAAACAATAGCATCGCAGAAGGGCAATATGGGGAATGGATCAAAGCAAATGACCTACCAGGTGGGGGGAGGAACAGCTTCTCTGGGAGCTCAGGGGCAAGAACTAGTGGACCACAGCAGAACTCAAAATTTGGGTCGAATGTGGAGGCTAGCACCCAACCTAATGTGCAGAGGCCACAAATGGAGACTGAGGAAGGGAGAGGAGGGGAGATACAGGAGATATTGGAGGAGGAGAAGGAGGTAGACCAAGATAAGGGTGGTGAAGAGATGCAGTTGTGCCTTGCTGTTATTGAAGAAGAGCCAGAACAAGAGGATCAAACCAGTGTGGTAAGGGTGAGTTCTACAAGAAATGTTTTGGCTATGAAGGAAGCAGAATCGACTCAAAGAGAGGAACAAGGTAATACTCAAATGAGTAGTGATCAGAGGGAAGTCAGGACTAATAAAGGAGCCACTTGGAGTAGAAAGATTGCTACCTCAGGCAGGTTGAAGAGGCAATGCGAGGAAGATAAAGCCAAAGATGATACTCAGTCACAGAAGAGAATTAGAGATGTCAGTGGGAAGGGGAAGGAGGTCATGGAGGATGCTGATGAATTGTCTAAATGCAAAAAACAAAAATTGGAAAAATGCAAGGATAAGAAAGAAGTGGAGAAGGCCAGCCTTGAGTGGCCCCAATGTGACCAATGAGGGCTATGGTGTGGAACTGTAGAGGGCTGGGTGGGCCCTGTACAGTTTCCCAGATCAAGGATTCAAGAAGAATCCACCACCCTAATATTATATTCCTATCTGAAACTAAGAAATCTGCTAAGTTTACAAGAACAGTCTGTAGGAAGTTGGGCTTTGAGAATAGATGGCAGCTAGTGGAGCCTGCAGGGACAAGAGGTGGGTTATTGGTAATGTGGGATGTGAACACTGAAGTGAGGACTGTGATAGGAAATGAGTTCTGCTATCAAGTAGAGTTGAAGGGGCCTGGTATAACTGGTTGGATTTGGTTAATTTTTGTCTATCTGAGCACTGATAGAGGCAGTAGAATGAATCAGTGGGATTTCTTAGAGGAGAGGCAGTCCTCATGGGGAAATGTATGGGCCATGGCTGGGGACTGGAATGACCTAATTAGCAATGAGGAGAAGAGAGGGGGAAGAAGAAGGTCAGAAGCTAGCTTTATGGGTTTCAGGGATTTCATTATGAGAATGGGGATGCAAGAGGCTGAGCAGAAAGGGGCTTTTTTCACTTGGGGAAATAATAGAGATGCTGAGGGTTATGTTGAGGAAAGGTTGGACAAAGTTTTTACATCGTTGGAATGGTCTAGTAGATTTCCTCAGATGGAAGTATCAAATTTCTTCAGATGTGCATCAGATCATAATGTTTTGCTGTTGAATACTGATAAGGCAGCAGTTTTTAATAAAAAAAAGGTTCTTATTTGACAGTAGTTGGGCTAAGATGGAAGGAGTAAACCAAGCTGTTGAAAGAGGATGGTCTACTCAGATGGATGGCACACCTATGTACCAGGTACATCAGAAGGTAAAGGCAACAAGAATGGCTTTGATGGAGTGGAGGAAACCGCTGAGAAGGAATTCTGAGGAAGCAATTCGAAGACTAACTTTGCAGATTGAGGGGATGAGAGGGGAGGGGGGAAATCGAAACTGGGAGGAATGGGATATTGCCAAAGCTGAACTAGATAAAGCTTTCAAAGAGGAGGAGAGTTTTTGGAGGATGAAATCGAGAGTAATGTGGATGAAAGATGGAGACTGCAACTCAAAGTTTTTCCATGCTACTGTGGCCCAGAGAAGAAGGAGAAATACTATCAATTGCTTAATTACTCAGACAGGGGAAAGGTGTGAGGGTGAAGAGGCTCTGGTCAATCATATCACAGACTTCTATTCTGATCTTTTTCACTCTGAGGGTTCTCAGGAGGGGAATTACTGTCTGCAACATATCACTCACTCCATCTCTGATGATATGAATTCTTTGCTCATCAGGCCCGTTGAGGATGAAGAGATTAAGGGAGTAGTTTTCAGCTTACCCCCTGACAAAGCACCGGGTGAAGATGGTATGAATGCATCTTTCTTTCAACATTTTTGGCACTTGATTTCTAAAGATGTGTGTAATGCCATTAAGTCTTTTTTTTCCTCTGGAGTGTTACTGAAAAACTGGAACCATACAATTGTAACATTGATTCCTAAATGTCTGTACCCAGAGAGTTTATCTAATTATAGACCTATTAGTTTGTGTGGCACTTTGTACAAAATCATTACTAAGCTTCTGGCTAACAGATTGAAAGAGTGTCTGAATGAGTGTATTAGCCCTGAGCAAAATGCATTTATTCCTGGGAGATTACTGCTGGATAATGTGATAATAGCTCATGAAGTTTTTCATTTTCTTAACCGGCATAGATCTGGCCCTAATATGTTTCTTGCGTTGAAATTGGATATGGAGAAAGCATATGATAGAGTGGAATGGCATAGCATCATAAGAATTATGTTTAAAATGGGTTTCAATGCTCTGTTTATCAAGTGGATTTTTGCTTGCTTATCTTCATCCTCCTTTTCCTTTAATGTGAATGGAAGTATCTGTGGGTTTGTAACACCAACCAGAGGGATTAGACAAGGGGACCCTCTCTCCCCCTATCTATTCCTGTTGGTCTCTGAGGTCTTTTCTGCTCTCATTAATCAGAAAGTTAGAGATGGGGTTCTCAGAGGGGTTAAAGTGTCTAAGCATGGGCCTATGATAACACACCTTTTATTTGCTGATGATGCTTTGGTGTTTTGTAAAGCTGATGTGTGGCATGTTCAATCTATCCTGGAAGTCTTGCAGAAATATAAGAGTTTTACTGGGCAAAAAGTCAATCTGCAAAAATCTTCATTATTTTTGAGCAAAAATTGCACTGAGTCTGTGAAAACAAGTTTGTGTTCTATTCTCAGAGGTGTTGTGGTTAAGAGATCATCTAAGTACCTGGGTTTGCCTTTGGGGATAGCTGCTTCTAAGAAGGATACTTTCCAATTTGTTATTGATGCTTTGAGTAACAGAATTGGGAGTTGGACTAATAAATTTTTATCTGTGGCTGGCAGAGAAGTCTTGATCAAGGCTGTCTTAAATGCCCTTCCAATTTTTGTTATGTCTTGCTTTATGTTACCAGGTGTGGTATGCAAAGAGATTAGCAAGTTGATAGCTAAATTCTGGTGGAGCAAAGGGGATGTGCAAAACCCGGGTATGCACTGGAAGGCTTGGGAAAAATTGGCTTTACCAAAAGAGGCTGGAGGGCTTGGTTTTCAAGACATATTTATTATGAACAAGGCACTTATTCTGAAGCAGATATGAAGGATTTGTTCTCAAAAGAAGCTGCTGGTGAGTCAAGTTCTTAAACATAAATATTTTCACTCCACTTCTATTTTTTAGGCTAAAACAGCACAAGGTGCCTCTTGGTTATGGAACACTTGGGCTAGACTTATACCTTTGTTGCAGAAGAATGTTAAGGTACTAATCAGGAATGGAGTCAATACAAGCATTGATGACTACAATTGGGTTCCTGGGTTGAATGGGGGTAAGCCTGCTCTAAAGGTCAATATTGATTCCTCTCTGTTTACTGTGAATGATCTTCTATGAAATAGTGGGTTATGTTGGGATGAGAACCTTGTCAAAATTCTGTTTCATGATCGAGATGCTACTGAAATCTTGAATATCAGATGGCTGAATCCCAGTGGTGAGGATTTATGCTGCCTATGTTTCTATGCTTAAGGAGAAGGTTTGTCTGTTTTCTGAACTAGAAAGTAGCAAGATGGCTGTGGGAAACTGTAGGGCTAGAAATAGATGTTGGAAATTGAAAATTCAGCCTAAGGTCAAGCACTTTATATGGAGATGTTTTAATAATATCCTACCTGTTAAAGGGAACCTGCAGAGGAGGGGCTTGGATATCAACTCAGATTGCACATTGTGTGGAGAAGGGACTGAATCTCAGGAGCATATGCTGTTTCAGTGTACTAGAGCTAAACTAATTTGGAGATTAGCACCTGTGAGGTGGAATAAAATGCCAGATGAGAACTTCCCTTTCAAAGATTGGTGGTGGTGGCTTAGCTCTATAAGTGTGGATGATGTGTCTGAAGATCGTATACAATTGACCACATACATTTTATGATGGTTATGGCGGGCACGCAATCTCTGGATTTTTTAGCAGACTTGGCAACCAGAGAGGGAGATTCTTAAAGCAGCAGCTCGAGACTGGTTGGATTTCAAAGGGGAGGCAATGGAAAACTGAGCAGAAGTTGAAGAGATTTGCCTAGGTCTAGTGTCAGTGGGTTTGTCTTCTTAACTTGCTGTTCTCATTTCTGTTGTTTTCCATGTTTTTGAGTTTCTGTAAGCTGTGTAACAGGTTGTAGTTGTGTTGTGGGGCTGTATGTGATCTTGAGTTTCTGTTTTGGCCTTAGGTCTTAGTATTGCTCCAGGTAGTGTGCTATGTGGTTTATTTTGGGTAATGTGGGTTGGTCGGTTTAGGCATCACTTGTTCGTGTATGTCCTCTCAGTTTGTATGACTCGGTTTTTGGCCGCTTTGTACCTATTATTCTGATGGAATGAGATATAGTTTCTGTCGTTTGAAAAACAAAAAATCTGGCAAATCAGGCACCAAGTAGAAGTAAGAGAGCTGCAACATAATTTCTTTCAATTCATTTTTGAAAATCTTGAGGATAAGAGGAAAGTAGCCAGAGGTAAGAACTGGTCATTTGAAAACCAGTACCTTCTCCTAAAAGAATGGCAAGAAGACATAAACGCCGACCATGAGTGTTTTACTGAGATCGATATGTGGATACAAGCTGAGGGCATACCGCTAAATTGGCTGAGTATAGAAGTGGGCATCAAAATAGGCAAAGCCTTCAAGAACGCAAAAGATGTCATCATCTGTGACTCGAGCTCCGGAAACGGAAGGTGTATCAAAATCCTAGCTACCATCAACCTATCAGAACCTCTGCTCCGATGCTCAAATATCCAACTTGGAGAGAAAATTCAGAGAATTATCTTCAAATATGAAAAGCTACAAAATTTCTGCTACTACTGTGGCTATATTGGACATCTGGAAAGAACATGCTCAAAGAGAAAGGAAGATATTGAAGCGGGGAATCCTCAGAAATGTCAATTTGGTGAATGGATAAAAGTCCCGGACTCCAATTCCAGAAACAGACACCATTCAACTTTCTCAGGTAATTCCAACCAATCACCCTCAGCATCCCCTTCTCAACCTGAGAAATACTCTAACCAAGTCTCACCTAACATCTCCCAACCTACACCTCATGCCCAATCTACTAACCCCTCAAATCCCTCAACTCCAGACACTAATCTTTCCTTAACCACTCCTACTCAACAACACCACACACCACAATCCCCTAACAGTCTAGCCCTTATCCCCAAGCCAACAATGCTGAAAGCTCTTGATCCAGCACCTACCCCAACCTTAATATCCCCAACCTTAACATTGCTATGGAAGACTCTGCCATGCTTCTTGATTCATCTACCCCTATAATGCCCCTTCTCCTTAAACCGAATCCCAAAACAACAAAAAAATGGACTAGAAAAGCTAAAGCTAACACTTCACCTACCTCCAAAGACCAAAACAGCACACCCATCTTCAACACACCTAAGACAAAAAGAGGCAGACTTCAATCTGATTCAGACCCCATCCCTAACCAATTAAATGATACCAATGAAACCATTACCCCAGCCCCCAAAAAATCCAAAACTTCTTCTTCCAAGGTGGAGGCAGCCAGCCTAGAATGGCTCCCAACTGATAAATGAGAGCTATGGTGTGGAACTGTAGAGGTCTGGGAGGACCCTCTACAGTTCCCCAGCTCAAGGAGTCCATAAAACTCCACCTCCCTTGGTTCACCTTTCTTTCTGAAACTAGAAAATCTTCAGCCTTTGTAAATACTGTTTGTAAAAAGCTAGGTTTTGCTGGTCATTATTTATCTATTGACCCCACTGGCCAAAGTGGTGGCCTTCTTTTGCTTTGGAGTAAAGACATTGTGATTATGAACATTATTCCGCACTATTTCTGCATTGAAGTTGAGTTTCAACACCCTACATCTGCTGCTAAACACTGGGCCATATTTTTCTATCTGAGTACTTCTGCCAGTGAAAGAGAAATGCAAAGAAATTATCTTCTCAATGCTAAAAGCAATTGGGGGGACTCCTGGATCATAGGAGGAGATTGGAACGATATCTGCAATAGAGAAGAGAAAAATGGAGGCAGAGATAGAGCTGAGAATAGCTTTTGGGGTTTCAGGAATTTTATTGCTCAGATGAATATGCTAGAAGTTCCTATGTCAGGCCATCAATATACTTGGGGAAATAACAGAATGGGCTCATGTTTTATTGAAGCAAAACTAGACAGATTCTTCACTTCTTTTGGCTGGCTGTCCCTTCACCCTTTAACCTCCTCTACAAGCATATGTCGAAGCTCATCAGACCACCATCTCATTCTGCTCTCAGATGCTACTAATGAACAGCACTCCAAAAAGAGGTTCAATTTCGACAGAAGATGGCTTGGCAAAGAAGGGATTCAAGAAACCATAACTCAAGCTTGGAACACTCATCACTCTGGCACACCCATGTACCAAGTCCAAAACAAAATAAAAGATACCAGAATCTCTCTGTTGAAATGGAGCAGAAACTTCAGAACTGAGAACTCCAAAAAAATTGCTGACTTTTCCAAAGAGCTAGAAATTCTAAGATCTCAAGGGGGAGACAGGGATTGGCACAGATGGCATAGCCTAAAGTCTCAGCTCGACAAAGCCCATAAAGAAGAAGAGGACTTTTGGCAGCAGAAATCCAGGATACAATGGCTAAAAGCTGGTGACAAAAACACCCGTTTCTTCCATGCATACACTATGCAGAGGAGGAAAAAAAACCATATTGCAAGACTAGTCAATGAGGACAACTTTCTCTTTGAATCTAAGGAAGAAATTGAAAAATGTGTAGCTGACTTCTATAGCCATCTCTTCTGCTCAGAAGGCACTTGGGAGCCTGAAGGACTCCTAGACTGCATCATCAGCACCATAGACAGCACCATTAATACCTCACTCCTGGCTCAAGTAGGAGAGGATGAGATCAAGAGAGTTCTTGACAGCATGAACCCAAATAAGGCCCCAGGCCTTGATGGTATGTCCCCTCTTTTCTATCAAAAATTTTGGCATATTGTTAAAAATAAATTATGCACTGCCATTCAAAGTTTCTTTGAGTCTAGCCAAATCCTTAAGAGTTGGAACCACACAGCCATCACTTTGATCCCTAAATGCCTGAACCCCACTCATGTCTCAAATTTTAGGCCAATAAGTCTTTGTGGTGTTCCTTATAAAATCATCTCAAAAATCTTGGCTTATAGACTCAAGCACTGTCTCCACTCATGCATCTCTGAAAATCAAACTGCTTTCATCCCTGGTAGGAGTTTGCTAGACAATGTAGTGGTGGCTCATGAAGCTATCCATTATCTGAAAAAGCATAACTCTGGTAACAAATGCTTCATGGCCTTAAAGCTTGATATGGCAAAGGCCTTTGACAGAATTGAGTGGGATAGCATCAGTAAAATCATGTTAAAAATGGGTTTCCACAGAAAATTTGTTAACTGGATAATGGCTTGTGTCACATCTCCTCACTACTCATTTAACATTAATGGTGCTGTCAGTGGTTTTGTTTCTTCATCTAGGGGCATCAGACAAGGAGACCCCATCTCTCCCTATCTTTTTATCTTAGTTGCTGAATTGTTTTCTTGCCTCATCAAGATAGCTGTTACTAATGGAGATTTGCAGGGTATTAAACTGTCAAGAAATGGACCCACCCTCAACCACCTTTTCTTTGCAGATGACACAATTCTTTTCTGCCATGCCAATGTCCAAAATGCCAATACCATTCTGCAAATCATGCAAACCTACCAACTCTTCACTGGCCAAAAAGTAAACCTGCAAAAATCCTCCATTTTCTTTAGCAAAAACACCCCCCCACAAACCCAACACACTATCTGCACCATGCTCCATGGCATACAACACCAACTTCATTGCAAATACCTTGGTCTCCCTCTGCAAATTGGGCACTCAAAGAAACAAACCTTCAATTATGTTGCTGAAGTAGTCAAAACCAGAATCCAGAGCTGGAAAAACAAATTTCTCTCTCCTGCTGGAAGGGAAGTGCTCATCAAATCAGTCCTAAGTGCTTTACCTGTTTTTGTTATGTCATGCTTTATTCTGCCAATTTCAGTCTGTGATGAGATAAACAAACTAATTGCTGAATTTTGGTGGAGCAAAGGTGACAACAATGCTAGAGGCATGCACTGGAAATGCTGGAAACACATAACACTTCCACAGGAAAATGGAGGATTGGGATTCTCTGATCTCAGAATCTTCAATGAAGCACTAATATTCAAACATCTTTGGAGGCTAATCACCAAGCCCAACCTCCTCATGAGCAAGATCCTCAAACGCAAGTACTTCCCAAAAGGCTCTTTCTTGGAAACAAAACCTCCCCTTAGCAGCTCCTGGCTATGGAGAAGTTGGATGAAAGTATGTCCATCCTTCTCACAGCATCTCAGAATGATTATTGGTAATGGGCAGTCAGCACTAATATGGGAGCACCCTTGGCTCCACTCTCTTCCACATCTAAAGCCTCGGAGAAGCCCCTCACCTTCTCCTTCTATCTTCAAAGTCTGTCAGCTTATGAATCCCTCAGATTGCAGCTGGAACATTGATCTCATCAGAGACACATTCTCAGTGCAGGAAGCAGAGGCTATTCTCAGCATAAATAGTCAAGACAAAGAAAAGAATGACAGATTCATTTGGATACCAGACAAGAAAGGGGTTTTCTCAGTCTCATCAGCCTATGCTAAGTTAATCCAAGGCAAAATAAGCAAACTGTACCTGCCTGAATCCAGTTCCCAATCCACCTGGATCAACAAAGTCAGAACTCAGTCTTGGAAACTGAAAATAAAGAGAAAGCTGAAACACTTTATCTGGAAGTGTTTCAACAACACCCTTCCTGTTTGTTCCAACCTTGCTAGAAGAGGCCTTGCTGTTGACACAATTTGTACCTGCTGTGGGGAAGCTGTGGAATCTATAGAGCACATTTTCTTCCACTGTTTCAGAGCCCAAACAACATGGAAGCTGGCACCACTGTCCTGGCCTAACACTAACCCTCAGACTCCCTGCTTCAAGTACTGGTGGAGAGACATCTGCTCAGCAAAAGGGCAGGAAGATGTAGACCGGATTGAGCTCACCACAT